CGACTACGTGGGAGTCCAGCGACATAGCCATTACGCTAACTGCTGGTTCCCAAGTTAAATAAATTTTAAAAAAGATCTAAGAGGGCTGATTGCTGGATAGATACATTAGATACATAGATGATAAAGTACTGTATATTAAAATACTAATGATAAGAGTCTAGGTGGTTGGTATGAGGTTCATTACAAAATTTTTTGCTATCTAGTAAGTTCAAAAGTTTTAATAACAAAATACTGAGGGAAAAAAAAAACTTATAGCCGATGCTTTCCCTTCTTATCACTTTAATCCCCTAAATTTTCTAGTCTATGAGCTCTTAAAGGAGCAGAATATTCTAACCGAAGTGAGGCCTGACATAAAAACCATGCATCTACTTAATGTACCAGAGTTCTACTGTTTTTTGGCTCCCCCTTTGTGTGTGTGTGTGTGTGTGTGTGTGTCTGTGTGTGTGTGTGTGTATGTAGGGGGTTGGGGATGATTTTTCACTTCATTTTCTCCCTCTTTTTTACTCCAGTAGCAAACTATAATAAATAAATGAATATTTGTTTTATATAATATAAAATTTCAAAAGTAAATAAAGCTAATCAAACTATATAACTACTAATACCAAAGAAATAATAAGTATATAAAATAAAACAATGATGGGAAATTATGGGTGCTAAACAAATACATGAAGAAATAAAAATAAATAGTTCTAGGACACTGGAGGGGGATGAAGAAGGGTCAGTAGTATAACAGGATGGGGGTAGCAGGTGGTATGGTGGTTAAGGGTGCTGGACTCCCACATGGCCGACCTCAGATCAAGTCTCAGACCTGGTGGCTTGCTTTCTCACCACTCCCACCCTGTCCCTCTCTGGTCAAATAAAACATAAGTAAATAAAGCTAAATAAAATAATTCTCTTTTTCAAACGGGATGAAAATAATTGGATTCTTTTATTAAAAATAAGTGATTTTTTGCTTTAGGGCACATGTGCTTGCCAGAGAGAAAGAGACAGTGAGAGAGAAAGTAAAAGATCCTCCAGGGGGGATGGCCACACCTCAATCCCTTCTCCTCTATACTCCTTAGTTCTTGGGCATGCACACACTTACACCTAGCATAAATTTCAAGCCACTAGGTATGGGACTTCAAGCATGATCAGCCATGTGGGAATACAGCAACATAATCGCTATGCCATCTGCTGGTCCTGAAAATAACTGGATTCTAACCTCAGTAGTGGAATTACCTATATAAGCTTGCATTAATAATTAAACCTTGGCCTAGCAGGTGGTATAGCAGTTAAGGCACTAGACTCCTACATGGATGACTATGTTTCAAGTGCCGAACTCAGCGGCCTGAAAAATCACACTGGGCACGTGTGTGTGCATGCCCATAATCCAAGGAGGGTAAGGGATTGCAGTGTGGCCATACCGGTTGAATTATTAAAGTAATATCTCTTATTAAGGTGAGCTAATAAAATCACTTTATGTCATTTATTAAGGTAAACATGTAAGTACATGATTTGGAATCAAATTTTCTTGCCATTCAGAAATAACAGTGCTAATACTGTGTTTATCTCCAGCATTTGCTCTATACATATATACATACAAATAGACATTTGTTTCTTCTCTTTTTGAGATTTTTGCTATAGGGAGTGTGCTCGCCAGAGAGACAGAGACATACAGAAAGTGAGAAATCACCCCCCAGGGGGATAGCTATGCCACAATTCCTTCTCCTCTATTCTTCTCTTAGGATTTTGGACCCATGTGCACATGCACCTGGTATGAGTTTCAAGTCACTGGGTCCGGGACTTGAACCATGGTCAACCAAATCAGAGTCCAGCACCTTAATCACAATGGCACCTATTGGTCCTATGCATTTACTTTTTCTAGAGTGATCATCTTTCCCTCCTGCTGTTGCCACAAAGCAACTCAAATACAAATTTTTAAAAAACGAAAATCAAACATGAGGCCCATCAGTGGCATGGTAGTAAAGGCATCTAGAGAAAACTTAAAATTCATGTAAAGCACAAAGATAAGAAATTGATAACATAGTCACTTCTGGAAAAGGGAACAGAATGATGGGAAAATAAAGGATAAAGGAGAGACAATCACCTTTCACTAGACTCTTTATACTATTCCCACTAATGCCTCCCTAGGTCATGTGTGATGTACTTACCAGAATTTTATCAGCTTTGGCTTCACTAATTCCCTTAATATTTATTAGCTCCTTCTTTGGTGCATAGGCAACAGCCTCTACAGTATGGAATCCGGCTTCTTCTAGTTTTTTCACATCGTTAGCATTTATGCCACATTGCTGCAAGTAAAGAAAAAACCACAGATAAAGTTAAGCTTCAGTTCTCTCATCTAATGTGTATGGTACAAGGATTTCAGAACATTTATAAAAAGAATTAAAGTAAAAATTTATTTTGATGCAAAAAATTTTGAAATCCAGACATAGTTTTTCACAATACATATTTTTCATGAACTTTCTAAAGACCCTGTATATGAAACCTACCAAATTCACAGAGGTGTTATGAAGATGGGCAAGCAGGTGGCTTTGGTGATTAAGGCAGCTGATCCCATATGATCAACCATGCTGTTTGATTCCCAGACTCTGAGGCTCGAAAATCACACCAGGTGTATGTGTGTGTGTCCCAAATCCCAAGAGGAGAATAGAGAAGAGACTGTATCAAAGCCACCCAGAGGGTCATTTCTTTTTTCAAAGAATTTTTTAAATTTAATTTTATTTATTCATTAATTTTATTTTAATTTGATGAGAGAGAGAGAGAGAGAAAGAAAGTGAAAAAGCAAGCTGCCAGGTTCTGGATTTGAACCATGGTCAGCCAAGTGGGAATGTCCAGTGCCTTAACCACCATACCACCTGCTTTGCTGGTCCCCCAGAAGTCATTTCTCACCACCGATCTTTCTGTCTCCTGTGAGTACATGTTTTTTAAATTTTCCCCATAGCAAACTTAAAAAAAAGATAATACATGTAAAAGCTGAGAAGAGTGCTCTACATATGAATTATTTAATAACAAATTATCAATATTTTCATGGTCAAAACCAGTCATTTTATCTTTTTGAAAAAATTTCTATAATTGCCAGATGATATTTGTGTGAGACATTGAGACAGGGAGAAAGAGAAAGCACCCCCTAATGGGGTGTGGTCATGCCACAATTCCTTCTCTCCCATCCTGTTGGAAATTTGGACATAAATGCATACATGGCTGGTATGTTTTTCTAAAGCCATTGGAGCTGGTACTCAAATCACAGGTTTAGTCATGTGGGATCTGGCTCCCTTAACCACTAACCCAGCCCTCAAAACCAGTAGTTTTAAACTATTGTAACACTGGGCCATATATATATAAACACACATACACACACACATACACACACACACACACACACACATATATATATATATATAAATATTTTTTTTAATTTGCTAGAGGGCACATGTACTTATCAGAGAAAGACAGAGAGAAAAAGAAATCACTCCCAATGGGGCACAGTCACACACCTACTTTTCCTCCATTCCTTTTGAGATTTTTTGAGCATGCATACATATATGCCTGGTATGTTTCTCAAGTCATCAGCTCAGGGACTTGAACCACACAGTAGGTCACATGGGATCCAGCCACCTTCCACACATCAACAGCTGGTCTGCCACATATATTAATATGAACTTTAGGAATAGAGATCAAATTAGTAATTCCCAATCTTTAATGACTTTGTCTCTCACTTAGGCACTGAAAGGCTGTTTTAAACCAGTGTTTCCCAACCCTTTCCACATCAAGAACACAGAGAAAATGATATTTTTATACTACATGAGCATGAAAAGATAAAGCTACCCCAGAGCTAAGTGAAGCACTATCTTGGCCTGTTAACATCTTTCTTATAAAACAATGGAAAGCTCTGTTCTAACAACTGACATTAAGTATGGGAAAACTGACGCTAGATCCTTTGTGCAGTGGTAATGTGCTGCTCACCACTCTGCCCCCCCAATAAAAAGCTGGATCTCATGTGGAGACTGAGGTTCAAATCCCCACCTGGTCAGCCTGAAACATGCCATGCATATGTGCCAATGCCCAGGATGTTGAGCCAGAGGACTGGAAAGGAAAGGGATTTTAGTGTGACCAAACTCTATGGAGGGTGCTTGCCCCTCTCTCTATACCCTCCCGCCTGTGTGCACAAGTCCTACATCATGAATAAAGGGAGAAAAACTTATATGTAAGAAGGGGGAAAATTATTTTTGGGTCAGGGACCTATATACTATTTCTCAGAAGAAATCACCCAAAAGTATCTCTTTCTCTCTGTATATACAGTCAGCCTTGGTTTATTAATTACTGAAATCATGACTCTAGGGAGAACATTAGTTCACAGTGGGATATGTATTTAGGTGTTAGGAAGGACAGGAGACATTAGTACTTGCAAACAGAAACCATGTCTGGGGGCCAGTAGGTGGCATGGTGGTTAAGGGCGCTGTACTCCCACTTGACCAACCACATTTTGAGGTCCAGACCTGGCAGCTTACTTTCTTACTCACTCTCTTTCTCTCTCTCACTCTGTCCCTCTGGTCACATTAAAATAAATAAAGAAATAAAGTTTAAAATAAAAATAATTGTTTTTAAAAAGATAACAAAAAAACATGTCTGTGGGCCAGCCAATGGTATGTTGTTAAGGTGGCTGGATCCCACATGGCTAATTGTGAGGTTTGAGTCCCAGACCCAGTGGCTTGAAAAATATACCAGCAGAGAGTATGGAGGTATAGGTGCATATGTGATCAAAATTCCAAAAGGGACCTACAGAGAAGGGACTGTAGGGTGACTGTCCTCCTGGGGATACTTTCTCTCTCTTTCTGGGAGTGCTTTCTCTCTCTTTCTGGGAGTTCTCTCTCTCTCTCTTTCTCTGTTTCTCACCAGCAAGCACATGTGCCCTCTAACAAATTAAAAAAAGAAAAAAGAAAAAGAAATATTTGCTATTCATAATTAAACAACACACATGTATAAGGAAGCACAAAACACCAAGTTATGACTCTGAATCTCAAATATCTCTTAGCCCTGGTGCTTAATGTTCTTTTGCTAAGTACTATATTGAAGCTTCACTTTTATATCTCAACAACTCTAAGCCTTTCCTACTGCCTAGTACAGCTGTCTTGCTAGTAACTTCAGCATAGATGTGGATTAATGAAGGGAAGTTGTTTTCCTCTCCTCCCTATATAACTGGTCTAGGATACTGTAATTTCCTGAACAGTACTTTCATATTTAGTGTAGATAGTACAGAGACTCCACCACCGGATGCTAGTATTTAGTTTCTGAAAACCCAACTAAGAGAAAAATGTTGGGTACCAGCAGGTGGCATGGTGGTTAAGGTACTGGACACTCCCACATGGCTGACCACAGTTCAAGTCCTGGACCTGGTGGCTTGCTTTCTTGCTTTCCCTCTGTATGTGTGTGTCTCTGGTCAAATTAAATAAATAAATGAATAAATAAAATTAAATAAATAATTAAAAAAAAAAAAGATTAAAAAAAGAAAGAAAGAAAAATGTCTGGAGCCAACAGAGAGCATGGAGGATAACATAGCTAGATCCCACATAACCAACTGTGTGGTTCAAGTCCTAGAACCAGTGGCTTGAAAATCATGCCAGCTGTGTGTGCATGGGTGTCCAATGTCCTGAAAGAAAAATGGAAGGGGGCTGGCAGGTGGCACGGTGGTTAAGGGCACTGGACCTCCACACGGCCAGCCATAGTTTGAGTCCTGGACCCGGGGGCTTGCTTTCTTGCTTTCTCTCTCTAGTTCAATTAAAATAAATAAATAAATAAGGTTAAATAAAATAATTCTTTAAAAAAAAAAAAGTAAAAAAGAACAGAGGAAAGGGGATTATGAAGTGGCCATACCCCCTGAGGGGGGAGAACTTCTCACTTTCTCTTTTTCTCTCTCTGAGGAATGTGCATGTGCCCTATATCAAATTAAAAAAAAAAGAAAGAAAGAAAAATAGTGTAATAGGAGAGCTGTTGACAAGAGACCTGTTTTGGCAGATATATTTAGTAACAATTTTAAGCCTTTCCATAGAATCCTTGATAATCCTCCTGAAAACGAATTTAGGTCTTAACCTTAATAACAAACCTAGAGTTTATGTAAAGATTATGATCTCGAGAAGACGATTCCTCATGGCTCCTGCAAACTAGGTATTTCAGGGTACAGTTGAGAGAAATGAAGATTTTCTACCCATAATTCAGCCTCCAGCAAACAAGCTAGCATGGCAGGAGAAGTGAAGCCTTCAGAAGAAGATTCCTCATGGCTCCTGCAAACTAGGTATTTCAGGGTACAGTTGAAAAAAATGAAGATTTTCTGATAATTCAGCCTCCAGCAAACAAGCTAGCACGACTGAACTTCATGAATTAGAAAGAAACACACCATCGATCAGATGACAAGAAATCACCACAGGACCACAAGAAATATGGGAAAGCAGGAAAATACCTCTCCTCCAAGGGAAAAGAATAATTCCTCTTCATCCACAAGCAGTTCAATGAAAATCATGGAAATGTCTGGTAAAGAATTTAGAACATTCATAATGGCATAACTAACAGAGATGGAAGAGAAGAGAGACAAGGAACTACTAAAGAGAAAGGAGAAAGAAGTTGATGAGTTCCAGGAGGTGAGGAAATTCTTGCAAGATCTAAAAGAGGAACTACACACTTTACAAAAGAATCAAACGGAACTGTTAGAGATGAAGTCTATAATACAGGAAGTCAAAATCTCCCTTGAAAGTATTAAAAGCAGACTAAATCATACAGAAAATAGAATCTCAGACATAGAAGAGAAAATTGCTGGCCTAGAAAAATCCACCACAAAGACTGAGGAAATGGCCCCAAAATTTGAGAATGATATACGAGAAGTACTCGATACCATCAAACCTCCAAACATCCAGATAATTTTCATTCCAGAAGGTGAAGAGACCCATTAAGGGCATTGATAATCTATTCCATGAAATCCTGCAAGAAAACTTTCCAAACCTAGAGAGGCATTCAAAGATCCAGTCCCAAGAAATACAAAGAACCCCAAATAGAATCAACCCAAGAAGATCTTCTCCAAGACACCTTATAGCCAGGTTGACCAAAACCACAGACAAAGAGGGACTAGCAGTTAGCGTAATGGCTATGTTGCTGGACTCCCACGTAGTTGACCATGGTTAGAGTCCCGGATCTGGTGGCTTAAAACTCATGCCAGGCGCGTGTGCATCCGTGCCCAAGATCCCAAGAGGATAAAGCAGGAGAAGGGACTGCAGCGTGGCCATCCCCCCCCCAGGGAGTGATTTCTCACTTTCTCTCTCTCTCTCTCTCTGTCTGTCTGTCGGGCAAGCGCCCTATAGCAAATAACTCAATAACTCTAAAAAAAACAAAAAACAAAAAACAAAAAAAAAAAACCTCTCCATAAAAAGAAAAAAATATATTTATGCATCCAATCCCACAGCACCCAAATATGTAAAAGAAAGACTACTAGATCTAAAGGGAGTTATATACCAGGCAAGATTATCATTCACGTGGGAAGAAAAGACAAGAACATTCTCAGATAAACAAAACCTGAAAGAATTTACCAGCACCAGACCAGATCTATAAGAAGTTCTCAAGGATGTGTTATATCAAGAAAATTAAATACAGTCACACAGAAATAAGAGTTCAAAAACTAAGAAAGTGGCCAACTTAATCGTAGGGACAAATCTGGAGTTGAATATTATATCCCAGAATTTAATCGGGAAAATTGAACCAAAACAGAAGATACATGAGACTGATAGGTTCATGCACCTACCATTTGAACAGAATCCTAACCTGTTTCCTGGTTTTAAGCAAAGTTCCTTAGCATTTCTTTGATTTAAATTAAAACCGGTCTTTTTTTTTTTTTTGGAGAGGTTTTTGCTATAAGGGCGCGTGCGCTCGCCAGACAGACAGAGAGAGGGACAGAGAGACAGAAAGCGAGAAATCAAAAAAAAATGGTCACACCGCAATCCCTTCTCCTCCATTCTCCTCTCAGGATCTTGGGCACGCATGCACACACGCCCGGTGTGAGTTTTAAGCCACCGCGTTCGGGATGTGAACTGCGGTCGACTACATGGGAGTTCAGCGACATAGCCATTACACTAACTGCTGGTCCCTGGTTTTCTTAATAATACCAAGTGAACTTGCTATTGAAAGTAGTTAAGATTATTTAAGAAATTGTGTGATCAATACAATGTGGGTGGGAAAGGAATGGGAGACAATTGTAGACATCAGAGATAGTGTGAGAAGAGGGTGGGAAAGAGAGGTAAAAATAAAAAATTCTAGAAACTAGAAATGGAAAATTTTTGCTAATAATATGCATAATTAAATCACTATGCAGTATATTCTGGATGGGAAATCACATTTTGTATACTGTGATGATGCTTAGGGCATAAATG